AAACTAGTAAAACATGTTCTAATAAAATATTACTCTATTTCCTTCCTTCACATTAGGCTAAGAAAAATTTTATGCTGAGCAAGATCAATGTTCCCTCTGTTTAGGTTTATTAATTGGTATGCACAAAACACTATCACAACATAACACAGAGCAAGTGTTACCACTATTCAAAATCAGATCATTAGTTTTTGTTTTCCACTGTAATGTAATGAATATATAAATACAAACACTGAGATGTTTGCTGCTGGAAACAAGTAAATGTTGGAATATATTCTATAAACATTGCATAAGTTATGATATAAAGTTACATTTTATAGGCAATTTTATTGGTCTTATAGCCATTAGCCAAAAGTCTCAGGTGCTTGGGTTAGTGGAAAAATAAGCTACTGTCTGTAGAATTTTCAATAAAACAGTCAAAAAAGAGGTTGATATTAAAGAAAAATTGAAATAACTAATATTATTTTAGAGACAATGATTTTTTTTCATTTTTACACTATATCATGCATATTGGACCACTTTTTAAGTTTATTTCTCTCAAAGAATTTAGAATTTTTCCAAAATATCAATTTGGTCTTCAAAGTTGAGTTTAAATTAAGATTTAAAAAAATATTTCAAACTCTTATAATTGTTAATTATTTTTAATCATGTCTTTATTTGGCATTTTGCTTACCTGCATGAAAAACCTCAAAAAAGACATTAACAGTGGTAGAAAGTGATCTTTGAATTGCCAGCAGAAGGAAAATGTACATTTTCAAAGGGGACTGTAAGTAAAACTGATATAGTCCTCTCTTTTTTTCCAAAATAAAGAAGAATTAATTGCAAATAATTAAATTGGCTTTCTAGGCTGAATGATAACTTTTGAGAGCTGACATCTGATCACTGAGCTCACCTATCCAAATAAACGTAGTATTAGTTAGTCTGTTTTTCTTTCATTATATTTGAAGCTAGGAAAATAAAGATGGAATAACCAGTCTTTCACTGACAACCCTGTTTTTTTCCACTGCAAATGAGCTAACATTCTGTACTCTTTTTTTATGTTTAAACAAAAGATAAGTTTTATGTTTTTAAAATTTACACACACATGCTCATACACACCTAACCCAAGAGAAGATAAAGTTAAACTTAAGTGACTTCCTTAGCTTAGAGTCATTTCACTGTATCCCCTTCTTTTCCCACATCAACATCATACCAAGCTCAGGGTCTTCATGATGATCTTCTCCTGCCTCCCCTCCATAAACCTCACCCCTCTGAGTACCAGGTTCTTCAACTTCCTCCTGGTAGCTGGTTCATTTGTTGAAGGCAACGCATGCAAACCTGATATGCGTATGTTACTTCTAACATGATAGTTATCACTAGGATTTTTGGTGAAACAATTACCAAAGTGTTCTAAGAGAATGAAGTGAAGCAGGAAGAGCTTATTAGAGAAGGAGGTCCAAAAAGGCAAGTGAACATCAGCAGCAAACACTCTCACTGACTTGGATCAACTATACTGGATGCTGAAGGACCTCCTGGATTCAGTCCCAAAGAGAACTGGAGAAAAGCCTGGCAGGCACTTCTTTGAGCTACCACATTAATAAAAACTTGTAATGTTAGACCAAAAGCCTTAGTCTTCCTCCACCTCAATCCGCAGCCCCAGTCACAGAAGTAACTACTGTTCAGTATCTATGTGTTCTATGCCTACACAAAAAGGATATGTGTACGTAGAGTGTGTGTGTATTTGTGTGTGTGTATATATATAATCACACCCCCACCACCTACCACCAGTGTTATTCTAAACAATCAGACTTTGAAAACATTTTTTATGGATTATTAGGTCCTTTGTATTGCATTGGAGAGATTGGCAGACAGGGAAAAGGATGCTAGGCCAAGACTAAGTTCAAAAGTGGGATCTTCTCCCATGGAAATGGGAGGGAGAAACAATATAGGACTTCTTAAGAAATAAAAAGCAAAGGCAAATATCAGGGAAGAGGAGCAAAACTAACAACTGTGGCTTTTTATGGAATCCTGGCCCTCACTGATCTCTGTGCTGCTGAAAGATGCATGCACATCATAAAGACAGTAGTCCCAGAGTTCTAGGAGCAGAATAACAGCGAAGCAAGTGGTGGCCCACAGTGACACGGGACATGGCTGTGAAGAACAGAGTATGGAGAGTCAGCTGCCAAATGGATGAACTTTGGAAAGGACTAAGACAGTCTCCCAACTTCCCAGATATGCTAGAAGAAAGCCTCCTTTGGGGATAAGTTGGTACTTGGGAAACAGAAAGCATACCTAATTATTTAGTTTACAAACTGGGGTCCATTTAACATTATATTGTCAACGATATAAGAAGAAATCTTTTCTCTCTACACTCTTTTTTTAAAAGGTTTATTTATTTATTTTGAGAGGGAGAACATGAGGGGGAAGAGCAGATGGAGAGAGAGAGAGCGAGAGAGAATCTCAAGCAGGCTTCATACCCAGCATGGAGCCCGACAGGTGGCTTGGTCTCACAACCCTGAGGTCATGACCTGAGCTGAAATCAAGAGTCATTTGCTTAATCAACCAAGCCACCCAGGCACCCCTCTTCTCTCTATGTTCTTAACTTGGCCTATAAATGTGGTATGCTACAGGCAGCTCACATTGGTACATGAGGGCCAATCATTAAATTTTCAGAAATTTTATAGGCCAGTTGTTAAACATGGTCATTATTGAAAATTAAAGTATGTAAACCTGCAAATAAACAACTTACATGAAAAGCAAAAATAATACATCTTCAAAACCCAGTACTTCCTAATTATTTTCCTACATTTTGTATTATCTGTGCTTATTATATTATCTCTGATGAGGTTATTTCCACCCATTGCTTCTGCAGGAGGGAAGAACTATGCTCTGCTGCACATCTCTTCCCAACTTTGCCTATAGTTACATCACATTGGTCACTTGAAATAAGCCAGAATGGTACTGTATACACCACAAAAGTTGGCCAATGCTATAAATCAAGGTTCAATTTGTTTTGTTGGTTGTCTAGACCACTGGTTGTCAACTAGGGTCAAGTTTGCCCCTTACATTCCCACCATTTAGGAATGCCTGGGGAAATTTTTGGCTCTTACAACTGGGAGTGTGGGTACTACTCGTATCTAGTGGGCAGAGACAGGGGTGATCCTATTACTCACAGGACAACCTGTCACAACAAAGAATTATTCAGCCCAAAATGATAACAGTGCCAAGATTAAGAAACCTGGGTCTAGTCCTAACAAAGTGATGTAGAAAATGTTAACAGTGCAGGTTAAACTTGCAGTATCATATCTGTACATATTACATTGGTCTGTACCTGCCTGCCCCCCGCCAACCAACTCCTGTCACCACACAGCAACTTCAGCCAGCCTCTGTCTTCCAAATTCCCCACTCAAAAGGCAGGCATCAGTCCCTCTGTCTCAAACATCCCCAAACTCTAAAGAACCTACAGCAAGTACTCTTGAGTGATGTCCCACCATACTCCACTCTTGCACCACAGCAATATCTGGCCCGTGATTCCACATATTGCTCTTGCAGCTCCATCTGACTTTGCTTAGTAGAGAGAACTGCAGGTACACTCTCTTTTCCGTGAACTGCCTCCAGAAGAGTCATCCGATAAATCTCTAATTCTGTTATACAGATTCAAATTAGCTAATGAGCAATGGATTTCAGGACTAGATCTGCTATTTTATGATAGATGAGATAAAAGGTTATGTTTAGAATGTGCCTACTTATAAGTTCTTACTCTCAGCTTCAACCAAAATTAAATAATAGAAAAATTCCCATGCCACATCCTATCATATATACTTGAAGAGTGCCATTGCAGAAGCTGGACAAAAGGAGGCCCTGTTTATACAAAAATATTTAATAATATTGAACCAAGTTTACTGACATTATTGTAAACCTATATGGTGGACTCCAACCAGGGTTTCTAAGTTTGTACAACTTAACGTGGGAGTGGCCAATGTGGCTCAAACCAATTAAGTATCCGAAAAGATTCTCTGGTCTGGTGTTTAGACAGAAGGATCCTGTGCATATAGAAAAGTCAAGATAGAAACCAACGAGGTGCTAGAGGTCAATCGCCTCTGGACAATTTAGGCAAACAGATTCAGTGGTTATAGCAGTAAATTATCCTACTGAGTAAATTAATTCACATTGTGGCAGAAGTTGAGTGTGGATGACATATCCCACGTGGTTCTCTCTCCGTGGCTTCTTCCTCTGATTGCCACAGAGCCACAGTCAAAGTGTTACATCCTACCTCAGTCTGCACAGAGCAATGTCAGTTTCCTATAAGGAAGCACAATAAATGGTCATTTGCATCAACTTCTTAAAATTCATCAAAACCAAATAACCAAAAGAGTAGAGAATAAAATAAGTGGATTTCAAAAATCCACATTTAAAAAATAAATTCTATGAGTCAACAATCTGAGAAAATGAAAACCAGAACTAAACAAGTAAAGATGTTCTTCTTCCTTCTTTCCAAAATGTAAGTAGTTTGTTATTTTCTTTCATAAAGCTCTCCATGAAGTAGCCTTTGGTAACTGCCAACTTTAGAGAGAGAATTATTAGAGGCAGAAAATTTCTAGTCCCTGTCTTGCCAAAGCAGCAAGCTTAAGGAATTTACTTTCCATAACAGTTTATTTACATATATTTTTAAATGCTTCAATAAGAACATACACTCTAGAAATATTTCATGACAATGGGTATAGGACTCTAAAACCAGAAATAATAAGTGTTGTCAAGGACATGAAGGAAAGGGAACCGTTGGTGAGAATGTAAATTGGTGCAGCATGGCTGGAACTTGAGGGCATTGGGTTAAGTGAAATAAGTCAAAGGAAGATGAATATTACATGATCTCACTTATATGTGGAATCTAAACAAACAAGAATGAACTCATAGATACAGAGATCAGATTGGTGGTTGTCAGAGGCAGAGGGATGGTGAGGAGGGAGTAAGATGAGTAAAGGTAGTAAAAGGTACAAACTTCTGGCGGAGCAGGGACTCGAGCCATGGAGGAGACACCGCCCCCGGGCTGCAGCAAGCCGCACCTAGAGAAGCTGACCCTGGGGATCACCTGCATCCTAGAATCTTCCCCAGGTGTAACAGAGGTGACTAGCATAGAGAAACCACCTGCTGAATGTCATATGATTTCTTCATGGGAACAAAAAAATAACTGTGTGCTACCTGAGGATGTGAAGGATTTTTACCTGATGACCAATGGCTTCCACATGACATGGAGTGTGAAGCTGGATGAGCACACCATTCCATTGGGCAGCATGGCAATTAACAGCATCGCAAAACTGACTCAACTCAACCAGTCTTCCGTGTATTCACTCCCAAATGCACCAACCCTGGCAGACCTGGAGGATGATGCACTTGAAGCCAGTGAGAACCAGCCAGAGAAGCCTCCCTTTGATTCTCGCAGTGTGATATCTGAGCTGGATCCTTGCAATGGGAATGGGAAGGTTTGCCTTGTCTACAAAAGAGGGAAACCAGCGTTAGCGCAAGACGCTGAGATCTGGTTCCTGGACAGAGCGTTGTACTGGCATTTTCTCACCAAATCCTTCACTGCTTACTATCACCTGCTCATCACGCACCTGGGCCTGCTGCAGTGGCAGTACGCCTTCACCAGCTATGGCATTAGCCCACAGGCCAAGCAGTGGTTCAACATGTATAAACCCATCACCTACAACACAGACCTACTTGCAGAAGAGACCAACTGCTTCGTGAACAAGCTGGATCCCAGCAAAGTGTTCAAGAGCAAGAACAAGACCTTAATCCCCAAAAAGAAAGGGCCAGTCCAGCCTGCAGGTGGCCAGAAAGGGCCCCCGGGTCCTCCCTCCACCTCTAAATCCTCTTCTAGCCCTGGAAACCCTGTCCGGAAATGAGCACCCCAACCTCCCCGCCAGCCCTACAGCAACGATTTCCAGGCACGGATGGCCCAAGCCTCAGATTCTGTGAGTGGCACCATAGGCCTTTTCCCATCTGCGTGAGCCAAGTCCTACGCCTTTTACCCCCGTTGGCATTAGCCAGGAGTTCAAGGGCATACTCAGGTCTCCCCCAGAGTCCTTTCCTCAGCCCTTGCCTCTGAAAGCTGTGGAGAGTTTCAGAACTTGTTTAAGTAGTTAAATAGAGCTGCTAAGAGCTTTCCTCTCTTTCCACCCCCAACCGTCTACACCCCTCAGCAGGGATTAGAGAAATCCCCTGAAGAAACCACTGATTTTGACCCATGAGGCATTAGAACTGTGCTGTTCAGTTGGTAATCACTAGCCAAAGGTGGCTGTATAAATAAAAAACTCAGTTTGTCACTTGCATTAGCCACATTGTGAGTATTCACGTGGCTGGTAGCTTCTGTATTCAACAACAGAGATAATGGAACATTTCCATCATCACAGAAAGTTCTGTTGGGCAGCACTGCATTAGAATGTTTTCATGCTGTCCTTACTCAGATCAGTTCATTTTTGTTAGAGAATGTGGATACCTTAATTTGATGGGTCATAATGTTCCATGGAAATTCTTGAAGGTGAAAAAAAAAAGGTACAAACTTCTAGTTATAAAATAAGTAAGTCCTGGTGATATAATATACATCATTATAGTAACAATACTATATCGTAAGTCTGAAAGTTGCTAAGAGAGTGGATATTAAAAGTTTTCATCACAAGAAAAAAATTGCAACTGTGTATTAATGGATGTTAACCAGACTTACTGTGGCGATCATTTCACAATATATACAAATATCTAATCATTATGTTTACACCTGAAGCTAATATAATGCAATATGTCAACTAGATCTCAATTCTTAAAAAAAAAAACAAAAAAAAAACCTAACTATAAGTTTGGGAATTTAAAAGGTCTCATATATTGAAAACTAAAATATGATCCAAAATTGTCAGAGACGTAGTGTAACTGTCAAACCACAACAAGTCATTGTAACTTAAAAAGTGCTTTCTTCCTTGTTATTAATGGCCAGTAGAGACTCAAACAGCAGGCATACAAATCTCGTCCTCCATGGTCATTGCCAGCCTCCTGCCTCCTTCTACACAGGTGCTTTCCGTGGTTTCATCTGAAGGTGTAAGAAAACTAAACCAACGAGTGGAAGAATAAAAAGTTGTATTTAAACTTCATATAAGAAATACATTTTTAACAGCTATTCAAAAGTGGAATGAGCACAGCGTACTACTCACTCACAGAAAGGCATGAAGTACTGAGAGCCGCCATAGCGCAGAGGAACTCCTCAGTGAAAGAAACCAGATGTAAAGGCCACAGATAGATTCTATTTCTATGAAGTATCTAGAATATGTAAATCCACAGAATGCAGGCCAGTTGCTGCCAAGCCCTGGGCAGAGGCGGGAATGGGGAGAAACTGCCTCATGGGGAAAGGGCCTCATTTTGGAGTGATGGAAGTGTTTTGGAACCACACAGCGATGGTGGTGGAACAGCACTGTGAATGTACTAAATGTCATGGGATTGTTCACTTGAAAATAATTAACTTGGAAATAAGAGAAAAACCAGAAAATTACAAAGGTAGACTGAATAGCTTGAGAAGTTTTGAGTTCTCCACTCCTAAAGTTGTTCGCTGCAGCAGAACCCGGAAGTTCATTCATGAGAGATGCAGTGGCAAGAACAAAGTCAAGGTGGGGACTAGATAAACCCCAGGTCCTGTCTAGCTCGAGACGCTGATATTGTGTGGCAATCTGACATGCTCCCAGCTCTTAAAGACAAAACTTTCCTGTGACCCACAAGTTCTTCCTGCCCATGGCCCCAGGCTCACCTCACCACAAGCCCCCCTCATTCTCACTTCACTGCTTTCTTGTAGCCCCTCATACTCGCCATGATCCTACCCTTCTCCCGACTTTTGCACATGCATTTCCGCTCTCTAATATGTCCTTCCCTCTTTTTTCTTATTATGATATAACCAAGATACAACATTCTCTTAGTTTCAGGTGTACAACGTAATGATTTGAGGTGTTTACATGGCAAGCCCTCCTCTCTTTATCTGGTTAATTCCCACTCACCGTCCAAGCGCCATGACTTCAGAGAAGACTTCTCTCATCCACTGCATCAAGACAAAGAGGATCAAGGATGGTGGAATAGAGAGGAAAGGAGAAGAAAGCAGGAAGCTCATGCAGAGGCAGAAGGGACAAGACCAGAGGGGGTCAAGGGTTAAGATGCATCAACTGAATTATAGGGGGTTTATCAAATGCAAAATTTCTCCTTTATTTAACTTTCCACAATTTCTGTAATTTGCATAATTTACCTAATGTACACTACATATTAAAGTTTACCATTTTCAACACTGTAATGTCATGTTCATGTCTGCATGTTGCCTAGAAACAAATTTTATTCATCTTCCTTTGCTACAGCTTACCAACTCCAATGCCTTGTACATGTCAGCATTCTCTCTAAATAAGTATGGAATGAATGAATATTTGCTGGGATCTCTTAGGTTTTCAAGTACACTAGCAATATCCGAACTTGTACGATACTTAAAGGGCTATGTATTACACTTCTTTGAATCTTTCCTTGTGCTTTGCACAGTATTAAGCACACAACAGAGCTCAGAACATTTTTTTGAGGAAGAAACGAATGATGAGTGAGTGAATGATTTCAGGATAACTTTCCCAAAGAATTTGGTTTATTCAAGTCGCCAGCAATTTCTAGGAGGGTAATGAATGCCCTCCAGTGTAAGTCTACACAAAATCTATTTAGAAAGGCAAGCCCCAGGCTGGAAGCCTCCTGGAGAGGGATGGTTATTGCTTGGTCCCAACTGTCACCTCATCACAGCTGCGCCCTTCTGTGTGGTGTTGCTTTGTAACCTCAAAGGGACCGCCCACTGTGGATCCTGGAAACACCAAGAGCTCCTGCCCATGACAACGAATGACTTTTCCATAGTTCCTGATTGCAGTTTCAGTAATGGCCGTAGTTGGGGTTTGTGACTCAGCATTGCCCCTTCATCTACGCCACCGTCCCCAGTGAGAAGCAGCAGCAAGGTGACCAGGCAGCTTCCCAGTAAACCTCAGCAGGAAGCAGCATGGCCTAAGAGAAAGAGCATGGGATGGAGTTAGGAATCCTGGATTCTCAGCCTGACATGTGTGCCCATCACAGCTCTACTGGGACCCGAGGAAACAAAAGTCACCTGCTGGTTGGCTGAGCATCTATTCTGTTCTGGACACTTTACATGCCATTTACTTGATCAGCGGGACAGTTTTACCTTGAGCTAACATGGCCTCATTTTCGCAGATTGAGCAACAGAGTCACTGAGAGGCTAAACAGCTTGCCCCCCCGGGGGGGTGGTGGGGGAGCAGATATCTAGGATGTAGTCTATTCAGAATTTGTACCTGGGTTTTTCTGGTAAGCTTGTCTTTTTCTGGACCTCAACTGATCTATAAAATAAAGAGATTAAGATGCAAATGATTTAACATCTGCATAATCTTTCAAAGACTACTTCAACTTCTCTCTAATTTGTACCCATTACCACGGGAAGTAACCACTGTGGCAGGAAGTTGAACAGAAACCAACAACAACAAAAAAAAATAGACAAAACCAGAGACACACTAAAGTGAGTTAATGTGTTTGAATATTGGTTGTGGACAAGGCAGGCAATCTTCGTACATATGCCTTGCCTACAGCAAGAAGACGTTTCTAATAAAGTTAAATATAACATTATAGTGATTCAATGGTCATGTTCATTTTCTAAAATGTTACACTGCCCTATCAAGTTTGAGGACTAATGACTGGACACATTTCAACGCACGCCATTAACACCGAGAAAAGGAAACTTCTGCTTTGTGCCTATTCACTCATATGTAAGTCCGTCTAAATAGGGGGAGATTAATGTCTTTCTCAGATGAAGGAGCTAGACAGCCTGGTAAGCTTGTTTCACTGGAACATAACAAAAACACTGAAGCCAAGGACCAGGCGGCCACGTCTCTGTAGGTAAAAGAGGTGCCCCCCGCTTCCGAGGGAGAATAATATCCTGTTCCCCCAAACAGAGGGAGAATAAGATCTTCCACTTCATCCTACTTATTCTGGGGATCAAAAGCCAATGTCAGCCTTCAAAGATGTCAAACTGGCACTCACAGAAGCATTAGGATCACTTAAGGAATACACGCAATAAAAAGAAGAAAAAAAAAGGACTTTGGAAAGCCATTAAAAACATGAGAGAGGGCATTCTGTGGCCAGGCAGAAAATGATAAAGGATCCCGGGTTTTATGTGCTTGAGAGAATTGAACCGTATCGTTATTACATAGCCATGCAAAACCCTGACTCAAGGCCATGCTGCCTGTAAGTGCAATTTCTAGAGGGAGACTGGATTCACAGGGAAGACTATGATTTGTCTGGGATTTTGCCCCCAAAGTGTAAGAATAGCTTAGGCATTAGGTATTCCTAATTTGTTATAACTTGCGAGCAACTGGCTAAGTTGGCAACCGTAAAGAGGCTGGGACTGCATCGGAGTCTAATAAAAGCCCTAATAAAAGTTTTAAACTAGTTCACACATCTGCAGTCTAACAGGGGGGTATTACCTAATCTGTGCCATTGCATGGCAGCCCCACCCACCCCGCTGGATGCTTGCTAGAGAATGAGGGTGGAGAGGGTATTGGTGCAAGGCTCCCCCCAGGCGGAATTTACAGCTTCTTTGAGAACCATGGCCAGCTTCAGAAGAACCTTGAGGGGATTTATTTAAAGAAATATAGCTAATTCTCTTGGGTTCCCATAATTTGCACTTGCAAAACTTCTTTGAACAAGGCTGAAGCTTGCCTCTTCCATGTAGAGATATCTTCACTAGGAGACACAAATTGATGGCTGGCATTTTAATGCCCCCATGCAAAAATAACCAACAAGCCTCCAGGGTCCCAGCCGAGGCTCAGAGAGTGCTCCCCTGCAGTGTGAGGACTGCATGATTGCTCTCCAGAGGGGAGGGAGGAGCAGGGAGCGGCTGTAGGTGGGAAGCCCAGGATTTCTTTCCACACTTTGAAAATTAATTTAGAACCTTGGGAAAATACAAAAGGCAGAATTTTTAATTAAAATTTTAAAGCTTTGTAGCATATTGATATTAAATGCAAAAAAAAAAATCTTGTCCCATTCCAGAATAAGTATTATATTTTTCTAAGAGAACGTGTGTGTACCATGAGCTGACATTATGATATGTTTCATTAGGTGATTCTAAAGGTTATTCTTGTTCCATGCATAAGCCTCATATGGCCACATCGCTGGCTGGATCTCAAGAGGGTGAGCGTGGCCCTTAGCTACTAACAGTAGCAGCCTTCAAGACCTATACCCACCAGGAGTACACAGATCAAATGGGCTC